TTAAATTTGTTTACCTGGATTTTGTGTTTTGTAATATTTCTTCTGACAGCACAATACCTTTATTTATTCTTCCAACGACGTACCAAAACGCTCAATTTAAAGTCATCGCATGCTCCGTATATTTACATGGCTACTTGTAATGGGTTGTTTTCTATCACCACAAAAAAGATCAATATCACAGATATTCAGTTTTAGCTTAAGGTTTTTCCGCATCCATACATTTTAAAAGTAGATGAAGTTTTGCCAGAAATTAAAACCTTTACAGAGAGCTGTCTAACGCAGTCCAGGCCCGCCGTAGTTGAAACAGCGTCTCGTTCTCTCTGCAAAATAATTTTTCCTCATTTTTTTAGCTGCAGAATGCTTTCATCTGCCGAGCCCCACAGAACTTCGCTGATAACCCCATGCACGACTCATTAAGATTTCCTGAGAATAACAAACGCAGATAAGGCCATTTTCATTGGCGGATTATCTCAACGGTTTGTTCTCATGTGAAAGACGGCTCCCGTTGATTTCCTTTTTAAAAATCAAGAGGGTGAACAAGATAGCGGAAAGTGTCTGTCAGAAGAGAACAAAAAAAAAAAAAGCTTTCACTCACCAGATGATTCAGTTCTACTCGTGTCCTTGAATAAAAGTAAAAAATCATCTGGTTCTAAATATCTTCTTTAAAGTTCCTGAATTTCAAAGGGACATTGTCACTTTGGTGTCAAATAACTAGAGATAATGTGTCAAGCAAGGCCTGAAAGGGCTTTGGGTTTAAATGGTTACAAAATATGCATTTCATAGCTGTAGACCGTCATTGGTGAATAAATGACATGATGATGTTTAAAAAAAAAAAACATTTCTATATTTACCTTTATCCATTTTTTTTTGTTTTAATGTTGAAGGTTTTGTGTGGCTTTACACTTCAACTATTTTTCTGAAATCATCTGATGAGCCCATCTAGTAAATATCTTTTTTTTCCATTTATGTGAGTTTAATTGAGTTGTTTTCCTGTTCATGACATTATTAATGTTTTTATGGATAATAGTTCCACCAGAAAATAATAATCAACAATCAAACAATCATGTACTTTTTCCCCCCAAAAAAGTCAGACTGGTTTTGAGTAAAGTTGTAACATTCAAGTGCAAAGTGCTGTTCGCCTCTTAAGAAGCCTGCTTTTACTCAAATTTTAATAATAATAATAATAATAATAATAATAATAATAATAATAATAATGATAAAAGCAAAATAAATTACATTTTGGCATTAGAATCAGTTTTATACCTCTAGTTTTGAACCCTGAAGAATTTTAAGATCTAAAATTTCCTATTTGCAGTTTTACTCATTTTCTTTCGTGTCATAACACGAAATCAGGGAACTTGGGTATAGACAAATATTAAATATATTAAATATATTTCTGTAAAAATGTGCACTGCAGTATTTGATTATATTTTTAATAATCAGGAAATAAATCCAGCAACAACCTGACACAGCGCTTAAAAAACACTTTATCCTTTTCATCTACATATGGTACATTTGATCATTTGAAAATCTTCCTTAAAACACTATTTACTGTAGCTGAATTCTTACATGTGGGAGTTTTCATTGACTGAATTAAAATCTTGGGAAATTTGTGTTTTGGTGACTGGCTTCGTGTAATAAAGTGCCTGCAGATGCTTTTTACAAGCCAACAGACCATTGACAATGTTCTTATGCCAGATTAATTCATACATCAGTCATAAGAGACATAAACAAACAAAAAGATTCATCTTAAATTGACTTAAAAAGAGGCAAAAAAAAGAAAAGAAAAACATTTAAGCATATTAAGAAATCCATCATATTTATCAAAGACACTTAAATGACAATTTTAGATCCTGATAAAGATCAGATAACATAAAATATATTCACAATAAAACAAAATAATCTTAAAAAAAATCACTCTACTTGACTGACTAGAAGAATAGACAAGGATATTAAAGCAGCATCACCTAGGGGCCTCTGCCCCAGCACTTCCTGTTTAAACAGATGTATGACGTCACTGATTACATCACTGGGTCCTACCAAATGGATGGGGGTGTTTTCGTATTGCATTGTTTGTCTTCTTTAAAGTAACCTTTTGAGTTGCCCTGCATGAAATATTTTAACTATGTCAGATGGGTTTGTAAATTAGATTAATGATATTATTCCTACTTCTTTCTTCAGACTTTGTCGTTTGGTTTGACTTGTTCTCTCATGGTTGAAGTGCAGGCGCATTGCCAGTTTTGCATAAAATCAGTAAGATTTTGTCTACTTGAGATGGACGTCAGAAAAAAAAAAAAAAAAAAAAAAAACGATGTTAAACAATAAAATCCACCAGAAGAAATTGGAACCGGCTGCTGACGCTGCTTTCTTTACCCTCTGACGACACAAAATCTCAGTTTTACAAGCAAACTGCATGTTTGCTTGTAAAATTACTTTATTTTTAAAGATTTTAATAGAAACTTCTGATGTGCCACCTTTCAGCTTTAGCGCAGAGAAACGCTTTCTCTAGGTTTGCCAAACATAAATCGGAGCGTTTCTGTAAATCGACTGAAAGTTAAAAAATATTAGCGCTAATATTTCACCTGCTCATTTTTTCCACTCTTGCAGGGAACAGACTACTCAAGATAAACAATTTTTATTGATCACAACACCTCAGCATTCGGTAAAGTTCCAAAGGTGGGTGCATTTATTTAAAAGAAAAAAAAAAATCAGTCAGGATGGAGCATTTATTCACAAAGATGCCAATGACTGAAGACTTTTGCACAGCGCTGAGGCTGTTGACGTTTAAAGGACAAATTGTCTAAAGCCGAGAAGCACTTTCTCAAAGGCAGCAAACTCTTCCTGAACTAATTATCCTTCCTCTCCAGACCATGTCCTGGAACAAGAGCGAGCAAAGGAGAAGCGCCCAGGGACAGAGAGTCACCGCTGAGCAGGTGGGGAGCTGCACATGTACAGAGAGCGCTTTGTCAAAAACTAATTATCTCCTCAAATTAACTCAAAACTTTGAGGAGATCCTAAACTGAACATTTTAATATGGGGAACCCAAGATAGATATCAGGCTTTTATCTGTTATGAAAATCAGCCTAATAACACCGTCAGTTTGCGCTACGCCGACATGTCGCACTTAGGTCATGTGAAGCAATAAGAACTCGGACATAAAAGAATTTCACAGAAGGTCAAAGTGCAATTAAAATCAATTTACCTTGACAGGAAGCAATTTAGACATGTGGGTTGATAAATGAGTACTGACTGATTAGGGTAATTAACTCAATATGTTAATTTCCAGTTATCTTTCGGTAGGTTTAAGGAATCAGTGGCTCCCCTGAGCGCCGCTGTGGGCACCGGCTGCTCACCTCAGTGTCCAGAGACAGTTTATAAACCGCAGAGGTGCGCGCGCATTTCGCTAAAAATATACTCATTTAAATGACACATTCTTCAGCCCTCAGCAGCCTTTAGGAGTGACAGAGAGTTTCAACAAACTTAACAATCCTGCAGAGGAGGAAGGGTTATTCTCAGGTCCTCATGAAGCAGATTGTTAAGGTGCATTGGAAAGTGCCATACCTATATTTCTATCTTGCACAAAACATTTTAAAGTGCCAATCAAACACTGCTGGATAATGATCATCCCAGGCTGTCAGGGAATCACTTATTACTCTGTCTGTTCTGTCTGAGACCTTTTTTTTTAATTTTTTTTTTCTAATATGGTGCTTCAAGATGCCACCGTGAACAGCCATCACCACACATTAACAAACCGAATTGTTCTTGTTCTTCATTGCAGATGAGTTTAAAAGCCACACGCTGTATGGCGTTGATATTTCACTCGATAGTGTCTACCTTTTGCAAAGGTTTAACAAGCTAAAACAAGCTGGGAGAAGGACTAAAAAAAGCAAGACGACAGCCTGCAGGGCAGCTTCAGGAGCGATGGGAGTCCATTACAGCTTCTCCAACTCTCTAACAGGTAACACTGCCAGCCATATGTCAGGTGCTGGTGAATCCACATTTTTTGTCTGGATACCCTAATTATAAAATCTCTTCTGGCATGAGGGCCACATGCTATTGGCCATGTGTTGCTGTAGCTGCACGGATATATAGATGCACCATGACAAAGGAATGCTTAGCTGCCACAGAGGCTTGAAAAGCACAAGTCCTGGAGCTACAGCGGCTAGCTGACATTTCAGCATGATACACTTTGGCATATAGCAAACCTTCAGTGGTCAGTGGCCCAATAATGATACATACCTGCACACATAGCTGCTGGAAATCCTAAGCCTCAATTTATTGGATTTTTTTTATCTGCTCTGGATCAGGCTCAAACCCTTCATTTTGAAAGTCTATCCTTCCTGCCTGCTCCGAATGTGTGAGGGTTGTGATTGATCGATTTTGAAGGTGTGTGTGTGTGTGTGTGTGCGCGTGTGTGCTAAAAGCAGCCCTGTGTGAGCATAAACACTTCTAAGAGCAAATAGATACCAAGAAAATGTCACAATCCAAAAATAAAGAAACAGTGCTACGTTTTTTTTTTTATGTATGTATATATATATATACACCGCCATAGGTTTTGGTTGCTTAGATGCAATTGTATCTACGTTTATGTTTTATACATTACTTTTATTTTGTTTTGCTTCACTATGATGAATTGTCATTAAATTTGTATAAGTCTCTGTGGAGAAGATGCCAGTGATGCTACTAACCCCAGAACGCTTCACCTTCTGTCACCATCTGGCCCTAATAAATTACTTCTGTAAAACAAATAAATAAAAAATGTTTTTGTCGCTTAACATTGTGAAATTAACTCATTTGTTATAAATCACTGTGTTACTCTGAGGAACAATCTGTCATCAATGTGAAATTTGCTTTTACTGTGAAATACCTCCAGTAATAAAGACATCTTGATTTGCACTTGGTTTTGGTGCTGTTTAGAGGATACCTGTCAGTTTAGGCTAGCTAGCTTAAGCTAACCTGAATATTTACAACCCTCCTGTTGATACACTAACATTACTTACCTACTGTCTTTCCACCACTTTGAAAAGCTTTTCTTCATCCCTCCACCATCTTTATCCCTCCCCCCTCTTCCTTATTCTGTTTTGCGCCCCGGAGTTTTTTTTTCTGCCTGCCCTGATGTCGAGTGCACTACCATTCAAATTTAAAAGAAAAGAAAAAGGGCGCGGGCCCAAGCTACCTGTGTATGTATGTGTGGGGAGGTGCAGCACACAAGAGGGGTGGTGAAGGAGCAGGGGAGAGGGGGAGAAGTAGGGGGCGTCTAATCAGTGCCGTTCCTCTATTTACTGATCATTTCATGCTCAAACAGCTGTTAAATGCAGAAAATGACGACTAGAATAAAATTTCCCCACGTCGTTTTGGCGCCCCCTCTAGTGCAGCGCCCCTACGCGTCGCATACAGTGCATACCCACTTTTTTTGCGCCACTGCTAACACACACAATTGTGCTTCATTTGTCTCTGTTTATTTATTTATTTGCTTTTTTGTTTTTTTTTGTTTTTTTTTAGTTTTGCTGGAGAAAGTTGAGCGCATGCAGGCGAGGAAAAGTGAGGGATTTTATTCAAACGAGGCAATCAAGCAGAATTTCTGTCGGATCCTGATTTCGGTCGCAGTTGAACGGAGACGCACGAACACTTGCACAATGTGCTCAGGGCTAATAAACACGGCCTGCACAAACGTTCCAGCGGTCAGACTGGTGTGAATGACGTGTCTGAACACTCTGTCAGCCCGATTTAACAAATATTATTCCTGTAAAACCTTTTAGATTTATATGTTTATAACCGCTCTAACCAGCCCTTCGAGCACCGTCTGCGTTAAACAAACCCACAAGTAGTGAGGGCTTTACAAATCCCATGACAACTTGATACTTTCCTCAGCATAAATGCAATTAACCTTAGGCAGTGTTGAAGAAGTACTATCTGTGGAAAAAGACAGAGGATGAAAAACATTTAAACAATAACATAGTTCTAAAAATCCTTTATATTTTTTGTGTATCAACGTTGAAATTGTTATTCACAGATGTGAAAAATGTAATTCATGCAAAGATCAAGTATGTCTTCCATATGCTGCACAGTGAGCCAGTAAGACAAAATTTCTGCATAAAAAAAAAAATGTTTTGCTTTTTATTGGTCCTGTTAGGCTTTTCAAATAATCTCTGAGAAATTTAAACTAGATTTTTTTTCTTAGCAGTAAGCCATAATCATGAAACCTAAAACAATCCCCTGAAAAAGAAAATCCCACTTTTTGTTTTATAAATCTACATGACTTTCACTCTTTGAATTTAATCAAATAAATTTACATTTTGCTGACAGTCTAATTCATTTAGACGCGCCTGCGACGATTTGAGGCGCCGTTCGATTATTATTCACATCCAGTATTTTGAAATGAGCTGATCGATGCCGAGGCCTTCAACGGGAGCCGGCGTATCTCGGCTTATTCGAGAGCGTCCTTATCTCGCTCTGTCCCTCAGGCCTCAAAGCCCTCGGTTACAATCCGGGTTCAAATGTTAACATGTACGCCTACACGGGACTAAACCTTGTGCCTGCAAATCCTGAAAGGGGAGTGAAATTATCTCCTTGCCCAGGGTGCACAGACACCAGGCGCAGGGGCACAAATGCACCGTTTGCAGATAACGGAGGAGGCTAAAGGTATCTGCAGCACGCAGCGCTCCGATAAGATTTCACTGTGATTACGCCCTTATCGGTCTCTGATGATCAGCTGTTTGGGTGTCCGAGAGTCAAATCACATTCAACATTTTCTGAAACTCGCTGTCTTCCTCATGGCCATCTTAGACGTTAGGCAGAACAAGGTGCTTCTTTATGGGCAATGAAATTACTGCTGTTGCATTAACTATGTTGACTCGCATGGCTAGCAAAGACACATTCAGGTTCCTAATACAGCACTTACTTAGCTGAGTAGATTAATTTACACATGGATTCCTGTGAAGAAATGCTGAATGGTGCTAAGTAAAGGGTTTTATTCACAACGCGTGGTTTTCTTGCAGAGGTGCAGCTGGAGCTTTTTTCAATCAATAGTGATGTAACGGGGCTTTAAAACGGAGAGATGTAAATGAACACATGCAAGTGCACACACACACACACACACACACACAGACGCATGCACCGCATTTCTGAGAGGAAACTTCTCCAAAAGCATATTATCATTTGACCCAATTGGAGTGTTTTTTTGACCTACTTATTGGGTTGATCCTCCAGGGTTCACCCTTTTTGCACTTGTTAAGCGTGTACAGTGGCATGCCTCTTTGATGTGCAAGTATCGATTGTAAAGATACAAGGTTCTCGACTGACCTATAGCATATTGATTCGAGAGAGCTCCCTGCTTTCTAGCCTCATCTTCGACTTGATAAAACTGATTTTGAAATGACCTAGAAAAATAAGTTTCGAGATGAAAATAATTTGCGCGAATGCATGCTTCGACTCCTAATAGTTTCGTCTATAACGGCATTACCTCTGCTGACCTGCTTCCCCCACCACACTCACATGTCTAAAGGCAACCTTTGCCATTCTTTAGAGGGTTTGTGGTGAAATGCTGCATTTGGCCTTTTTTTTTTTTTTTTCCTGCACATTCAAAGGTCATTAGGTCATTTCAAATCTGCAGGTAATGGAGCTGACAGGGTTCATCTGAGCTTAGTTCTAGCTGCCTAAGGGGCCCCGAGTGAGTTCACGTTATCTACAACCAGCACTCAGATACAACCGCACAGCTCAGTGGTTCAGTGATAAGTAGGAGGACGGCTTGGCGAGTTCAATTGTTTATGCAAATGAGGACGTGAATGTATTCTGGCATAACGTTTAAAGCTCGAGAAGAATGAGTGTGATTAAAAATCTAATTTAAGAAAAAAAAAAAGAAAAAAGAAAATCTGATATGTCTAAGAAAACGGGATTTCAAATGAGAAGTTATTTTCTCATGTCCAGGTATTTCATTTCAAGTCCAAGTCAGATCTCAAATCTGATGAAGTAAGAAATTCATGAAATCAAAATGCACACCATGTGTCCAATGGTGACACACGGCAGTGCGTCAGCAATTCAATTTTGCGTTGCGTGTTCTTAGGCCTGAACAATAAACATTTATCATCCAAAAGCAAAAATACCACCCACTTCATATCAAAAGCTGAAAAAAAATGGAACCTTTTCTCTATTGATAACAAAAATGTGGATTATGTCAAATTTCAGAATAAATCAAACAAGCCACTTTTAATCTATCTGAGTAATTGCCTCGCTTAAGCCTGCCAGTCGCACCAAAGTATCGAATCACCTGATCATGAGTCGCGCTCGCGACGCCATATCTGACGCTGCTGCACAGCTGATAGTCTGATGCAACATAGAAAAGTTTATTTCCTTCTTGACAGAGCTGCAGCAGACTGACGAGTCCCAGTGGATCTGGTGGATGGATGCAGTTCACAGCCTCGGCCAAGGTAACTACACATAAACACGGCAGTTCTCCGGCTGAAAAAACAGCAGCAAACATAACTCTGTTTTGAAAAAGTAGGCTGTTAATATTTGTATGTGTTGCTCTAAGCCAGGGGACTCCAACCCCAGTTCTCAATATCTACTGTCCTTCAGATTTCAGATGCATCCCTGCTCCAACAAGGTTGAATCAATAATCAATAATTACCTCTTCAACATGCCAGCATCTTAGACAAAAGCCTGGTAAAGAACGATCAGCTGTTTTGCATCAAGGTTGCATCTGCAATCTGAAGGAAGCAGATCTTGATGACTAAATCTGCTGTCTTGCTCTGCATGACTTACAAAACTTAAAAAAAAAATAATAATTAAAAAAGTTAATTCGATTACAATTAATTATCTTACTTATTGTTAAGGGCATTTCACACATTTTTTGCAGCTTTTGGCACATTTGGCTTCCTGACTCATCAAGAGAAACCGTTGGTTATAATATCTGTGCCTGAGTGGGTGAAAGATGACTACAAAGGCCGGCGGTGGGAAAGCTGTAAATCAGAGAAATAAATCTGTATTTACTGATTGTTTTTACACCGGTTACATCCTAAGCACAAATAAATAAATGTGTCCAGACCTGCACACGACCTCGCGGGAAGGTTCTGCATCACTGGGTTTAATGCGAAAGTCCACATTGTGTTATGAAAGTCTGCATGCGCGTGCAGCTCGGGCTGTGCCAGACAGAGAGCAAAAAGCTGGGGGAGGAGGCGGAGATAAAAACCTAGTGCTCTCGTTTTATAGTTGCTGCGTCCGCATGCAGTCACTGTCTGGTGGCTGCACACCCAGAGGATCCATCCCAAAAGTGTTTTAAAATAAATATCACTCCGGCACAGACTTCCTGTGAGTTAAACCGAGTTGTTATTTCACTATGATATATACAGCCAATCACAAGATTTATTATCTAAGCAGAACATTGCTAATTTAGCTAACTTTTTTTTTCTTTTTTCTTTTTTCTCCAGTATATGTTTTTAAACCCACGTTCTTAAACTGTACAGATTCAATTGAAGCTTGTGATCAAACTGTTTAGAGTAACTCGCATGGAAACATCGAGCAACACATTTAACTGATTGTATTCACATTTTATGAATGCCTTCTTGTCGCCTTGACAACCACTGAGAGCGCTGTGCAGTAAAATATATATGCAATATATGAATATAAACCTTCTTCTGGAAGATGAGCATAACTGTGTCATATGTTCAGCTGGGCATGAAATGAATTGTTGGGTTGGGTTAGGTTGTTCCAAAATCTCTTCAATATGTGGTTCAGTTTCTATGACTGGCGTGTTTATAGGAACTGTGACCGTTCTCCTCAAGCCATATATGTGAGGTCAGACACTGGTGTTGGACAAGGTAGGACTGAAAGAGTCTCATTCTCTCAGAATAAGGTCGACACTCAGTGCAGACCATTCAAGTTCTTTCGTGCCAAACTTACTAATCCACGACCTTATGGACCTTATGTTTTACTCCGATGCTCAGGCATTTTTCTGGAATCAAAGGGCCGAGCCCAGCTTCTGAAAAACAGCCCTGGACCATAATCTGCTTTTTACTCAAATTTACACGTGACAAAATGCAGTTAGGCATCTGCCAAACC